TTTAAATAAATATTTTTTTACATATTTCCTATTTATTTTTATAATATATTGAATGTTTTATTTCTCGACATTAAAAAAAGACAAAATATTTTTCACAAATGGCAACGCGGGACACTTTCAATTTCCTCTCGATTTGTTTTGATCGTGTGTTGTCGGAAGGTGTAATTGCTTAGTGTATTGGTGATCATTTTGTTCTTGCGAGACATGTAAGTATGATTTTTGGATTCAGCACGTCAAAATACGTAGGAATGTGAAACAATTATCATTGATATGTGCTTAGGACGTAAACTTGACATATACCATTAAATCATAAAAAACCTTCTCATGGCATTCATCACATACCGTTTTACCAAGCAAGTACCTAGCTACCATGCAATGATTCTACAATTTGTCCGTAATCCATCTATATCTCAACTGACACAATTAATTTCAAATACCCTGACAAAACCTATAACTGTACATAAGAAGAATGCAATACTACAAGAACTATGAATTTCTTAAGTTATTCTCACATGCTGGAATGTTGAAACTCTACTTTTGTCATCCATTTCCATGTTTGATTGAGCCATCATATAGAACTGTTTTCGTTCTTCAGTCACAAGCTTTCGCACAAATCTTGAATTTTTACACATCATCTTAAACCATGCTCCAGTCTTTCCAACAAGGTACTATGTAACATCAAAGCATTTTGATTTGTTACAACAGCTTCAGATCATGATAGGCTTGAGGTTTGTTACACCATTTGCCAGACAAATCTCTACAAAATGTGTATCAATTCCCAAACTAAGTAATTGATCATATCAGTATTTGCAGTTTCCACACAATGTTTCATAATACTATTCTATGCTTGTATAAAGAAACTCAAATAATCCACAAATTGTTATTGAAACACTCCCACTTCAAGAATTCACAGCAATAACTGTACATTGTACAAGTTCAGAAGCAAACAAACATTGCGCCAGATTTCGTATCAAACGCGCCATTGTCCTGAAGTTTCTACCACAGACGGTAGTTCAACCGCAGCCGTAGTGCGAAAACCCCTGCCCGCCTTACCCCACGGCGGAGCTCGGTTGCAATTTGTAAATACGCCTACAGCGCACGAATTTTATATATGAATCATCTGCGCCAGTTACGCTAGTTATAATTGCTGCCATTTCTGCTTCCAAATATGATATTTTTTCCCCGCCCTTTATGACAAACACACGAACAGAATCCTTTTCAAGTGCAAGAATCAAGAATGGCTTATATGGCCTTGGAATGGCTTGATTCAAGTGAGTCTGCGGACGTTTGTAAGTTACGAATCCGCACGATACGAAACTAACCAGACGCTGGCAAATCCTAAGGGGCAGTTGAAACACTTTAGTGGTGAGGAAAGAATTTTAGAAAGAATCTTTGCCCGCCAGTGAAGCAGTGAAACCTCAAACCATCGCAAACCAAGACTACCTATTTTACTTTGACTTTAGTCTTTAGGGTGGTATAACCATACCATGGGTGAGGTGAAGTGTATAACTCCGTAAATATGGCAAAAAAGGATATAGCCTGCAAACTTAACGGCATTAAACACCAACCGCGAATGCGATTGATTAACCCTCGCCGGCCGAGGGGGGCGGGCGGGTGCTGCCCCCCCCCCCCCAAGGGTTTTTTTTCGCGATAGCTCCGGACACGCTGGCGATAGAGAGCTGAAACTTGGCATATCTGACCTTTGATTCAAGCCGGATCTTTTGACACCAACTGCATTTTCGGGTCAGGTCAGGTCACTGAACTATGACGTCATAGGTGAACCTCTGCACTGTCTTCAGATGTCGCAACTTCGCAACGCCCTCACCAGCGGCGTATCTAGAAAATCGCGAAGGGGGGGGGGCCAAGGGTTTGGAGGGCGCCACCTCACCCAAGGAGGGCGCCATACGGTCGCGAGATAAAAAATCACTCAACGGGGAGGGGGTTGGGAGGCGTTTTTTACCATGCCACCAGTTTTTTTTTTTGCGTAACCTCATATATGTCGTGCTGCATTGATTTTGCATCGTGTGTATTCTTTATACTCCAGGTCACAAAAGGTCAAGTGGTCTTGAAATGCTGCGCCGAAGGCGCGCGAAATTTTTGAAAACAACCTTTTCCTCCGCTTTTTAGGCACGCCTTTTATACGATCACTGTTCAAATCTCCTCTCGCTCTTTTACCAAATTTGAAGGTATAAAAAATACCTAAGGTTTGGTCGGGCCGCTGCCACACAAACTGTATAGAAAGCTTGGCTCATGGGTGTCGATGTATAAAAGTTTATTGGCGGTGGCATATCTACGCACCAGATCACCGTATCGGATTGATACCGGAGCGCGAGATGCGTAAACATCATCCAAATTACCTCAGACCAGCCTTCATAGCCTTCTCACAGGTGCATACAGTGTACCCACATAACCAGTTTCAATCACCGAAACTTCAGATGCCTGCTGTTGCGGCCGAACCTGTTGACAATACTTAATCGTAATACATATAGATGCCATGATGCACGTAAAGTAGGATCAATCCGTTAAGACCAAAGACGTGTTTTATGCATCGTAGAGCGTAGATAGTTTTGGTAGGTATATGTACTTCATTCATTGTGCTGAATGCACGTTCATTTGTGGCAGTTTTCACAGGCAAGACATCAACTATGTGCAATAGAACGACTAAGTTGAAGAACATGCCAAAGGAGTAAATAAATGATAGGAGGGCAGCGATCAACGGATGTTGCCAATAGGTAGAAGGGCTGCGATCCACAGGAGGGCGCTAATAGGTAGAAGAGCCCCGATCAACATCCCGAGTTTCGACAGTAGGGCACCGATAGGTAGGAAGTTGGCGAGCAGCAGGAGGGCGCCAATGGATAGAAGGGCAGCGATCAACAGGAGGGCACCAATAGGTAGGAGGGCCCCGATCAACAATCAACAGGAGGGCGCCACCAGGTAAGAGGGTGGCGAGGAACAGGAGAGCACCAATAGGAGGGTGGCGATCAACAAGAGGTCGCCAATAGGTGGGAGGGCGGTCATCAACTGCAAGTCGTCAATGAGCGGAAGGGTGACGATTAAAATGGGGTTGGCAAAGGTGAGGAGGGCGCCTTTGCTCAAGAGGATGACACGAACAGGACGGCGTCTGTGCGGAGGGCGCTGGTCAACAGGAAGGTGCCAGTAGATAGGAGGGCGGTGATCAACAGGAGGGTGCCAGTGGTTAGGAGGGCGGCGATCAACACGAGGGCGCCAATAGGAGAAGGGCCCCGATTAGCATTCAACAGGAAGGACTAGGGAACCAATAGGTAGGAGGGCGGCACTGAACAAGAGGGTGCCAAAAGGGAGAAAGGCGGCCTTCAAAATTTCACATGAGGGCGCAATAGGTAGAAGAGCGCCAATAATTATGAGGACGCCGATCAGCAGAAGGGCGGCAATGTGTAGCAGGGTGGCGACCTACAGGAGGGCGCCTTCGGGTGAGAGGGCGCTTATTTACAGGACAGCGGCTTACATAGGCGACCACCGTTACGCTTAGAGAGCTACAGCCTACAAATGTGGTTGGAGGGCGCCCGAGGGAGCCCTCCAACCGTATTTGGAGGGCGTATTTGGAATGGGCGTCCTCCGAGGGCGCCCTCCATCCGTATTTTCCCTGTAAACACATTCGCGATTGGAGGGCGCCCTCCAGTCGCGATTGTTTTTCGATTCGATTATATCACAATTGCATTTGCGATTGGAGGGCGCCGAAGGCGCCCTCCAATCGCAAAGGGCGCCTTCGGCGCCCAAGGGGGGGGGGCCATGGCCCAGTGGCCCCCCCCCTGCCTACGCCCCTGGCCCTCACTGCCAGAGTAGCTTTCACAGGGAAATGAAACTTGCAGAAGCTAATATCCATTACTAGTTTCACAATTTGTATATCACGGATTTTTCCTAAAGGTCATATGAGGTTAGGTCATTTTCGTGACCTCACCATTAGCGTATACCTAAGTCAATGGGCAAAAATGAAAACTGCTATTCTGGCGCCGGAAACGATCTCCAACTATCTCAAGCACACAGAATCGCGATTTGGTGCACTCCTTGCAAGGTAAGATGCGTCACTTTTGCAATGTTGACCTTGCGTTACGTCATTTATGACGTCATTAGGGTCATACCTATTAGTTTTTCGTCAATAACTCCCGATCAAATTGAGCTAGCGAGTCGGGAAGGCCACCACTAGACTCAGGAAAACCTGCCGAATCGAATGATATGCCACATGACCTACTTCGACCGATTTCGTGACCTGGGGGTGCTGACCAAGGATGCTGACTGCTGACCTGACCGTGACCTGAGGTCAACACCCAAAGTTGACCTCACCAAAACAAAAAGTATATCATTCGACGCGCCTGAGCGAGGCGAACACGATACTGCCAAAATCGCGGCTCTGCGACCGTTTTTTTTTTTTTGCGAAGTTATTCACCAAAAACCGAACCGTACCTTGGGGCACTTGACCTGACCTCAGAGGTCACCGGTTGACCTAGGAACTTAAAATCGGGTATCAATCTCTGCGTCTCGTAACGGCGCACACGCTCGTTTTTTCGACACGCGCTAGCTCCACCAGGGGCGAAACGGCGAGGGGGGTCGTACCCGTCCCCCCCCCCCCGCCGGAGCGTATGTCGAAAACCAATAGGGCCGGCGAGGGTTAACACACACGCCACGGGAACTCAATTCCGCCGGAGTCTGGCCGCAGGCAGTGTTTATGTCCTGCGAAGGGATGCTGTTTACGTTGGAGCCGGTGCCTGGAGCGGCAGACTCGCCGACCGCGGCTTCGACACACGGCAGGTCGCATCTCGCCTCAACCCGTGTCGCAGCTGCTTGTCTTGTGCCCGACGATTACCGACCACCCCTGGCGGTCGGTGGCCGTAATCGGTTCGACGGCCTAATGAAGCGAAACGAAATGAAATCGAGGTGTTCAACTATCCCTCTCAAGTCCTGTCGTTGATTGTTGAAGCTAGTTTTCGTCAACGTCTCAGGTAACTTTATTGTAACAAACGGTGTCGCAAAGACAAAGCGTTTATTGTCAAAGAAAATATAGGTGAGCCATTTCCACATGTCTCGTATGCATGGAGCACATTAAACGCCTTTAACGATAACGGCATTATTCTATCACCAGTAGCTATGATGACCCGCCAAAATAGCGCCTTTATATAAACTCAGGATCCAGCATCCGATGGCTTCTAGTGTCCATCACTGCGCGCGTTACTGTGACAGGTAATTGCGCAGTGCCGTACCGTCACCGGACCCTGCCGCCCGCGCCGACCCTCTCATGGGGACGGCGTCGGCGCAGGGTACCGGTCGGCTTTGGTCCGTTTGCTGAGACTGCGGTAGAGGCTATTGAGGAAGGCCTGGTGCGGGTCGACGGTGGGCGGCGGGGTGGTGGAGCTCAGCCGCGCCTGGCGCTCCTCGCGCAGCTCGCCGCCCAGCTGGGCCAGCTGCTCGCCGGTCTCCGCCAGCCGGCCGTCCACGCGCTGCAGGCCGTCGGCCAGCGCCGCCTCCGTGCGCTGCGCCAGCTCGGTGACCCGTCCGACGGCGGCGCGCAGCTCGGCCAGAGGCGCCGTCAGCGCCGCGCCGCCGGCCGCGCTGCAGGCGCCGCGCGTCTGGTTGTGCTCGACCGCCTGGGAGCCCGCCAGTCCGGACACGGACTCGGACACGGCGGCCACACTCTGCGTCAGGCCGTCTCGCAGCGCGGCCAGCGCGCCGGCCGTGCCCTCCTGGGCGGCCGCCAGGCCGGCCAGCTCGGAGCGCGCCGCGGCGGCGCTGTCCGAGAGAGTCTCTAGCCGCTGCAGGGCGTCTGCCAGCTGGCCGGCGGCGCGCTGCTGACCGGCCTCGAGCGCCGCCAGCCGCGACTGGACGCCGCCGACGGTGCCGTCCCACTCGTCCAGGCGGCTGACGTGGCTCTCGATGGAGGTCAGCAGCCGCGAGACGGCGAACAGCTTCTCGGTCAGCACGTCGTTCACCTGCTGGGACGTCTGGCGGCTGACGAAGGCGGCCGCCGGGCCGCACGCGGCGCCGACCGCCAGCAGCAGCAGCACGGGACCGGGAGACATTGCGACGGACGGCGGCGGCTGTCCTCTCTCGGCGGGCGCCCTCACTGCAATGCGCAGCGGCCGGCGCCGGCCCAGCCGCTCGGTTTGTTTATGACCGGACTGGGATCGCCGCCGCAGGAATGTCCCACCACTGGCCAGACGGCACTGGACGCTTATACAATGGGAATCCCCGCGTTTACATCTCCGTCGCTTCGTATCCGGAAATTTGGGCGCCGTACAGCACAGCCGTCAGTCCGGATGGGGGCCGGGCCGGGTACTTACAACGCGTCAATACACAATAGTCCGACCCGGGTTTTCCAGGTCAACGCAGTTGCGACCGGATACCCCGCCATCGTTGGACGAAGAATGCCAACCCTGCCTACCCACCGAGGCGAGCCAGTCGGCACGTAGCCAGGATTTTGCTCAGGGAGGGGCCACGGGTCGCGGCCTAATGTCGTACCCCCTCCAAAAATGGAAAACGCCTTGGATTTGGTTTGCCCACATTTTTTTGCTCTTCCCCCCCCCCCACCACCCTTAGCTACGTCCCTGGGGCCAGTCACGTAAACCAAGCATGTTGTTTGGATGATTGCCGGTGATATGACGGTTACGTCTTGGTCTTGTGGTTCCGAAGTCCAAACGACAGAGCTACGAGCCGTATGAAGAGCCGCCTTTATTTTGCTGGTAAAAAATTTCGTGTTGCCCGAAAAAAAGTCTGACTGGTTAACGGATCTACTTAATCAACTTAGAAGGGTCACTTTCGAAAGATTAGGCACTCTTGGGATGAACGCCTTTGGATTGGGGCCTCAGCTACCTTGTCTACACGGTATACTGTGTAACTCTATGCTCCGAAAGTTTCAAAACATAAGAATGAAAAATAAACGGTACCTGATGCGGACCCTGGATACAGCAATATCGATAGCAGCGCAGAGTATTATTTCATTTTGGGAAGACACCAAAAACGGTATATTCATTAGGTTCCTACTATTTTCAATGGCCAATCAATATCAATACAACCCCTCACCACCCACTCACACTTCACAGGCAGCCAAGATGGCATTGCACAAGTAAAATACAATATAAGTTAAAACACCCCATACGATATGATCTAATAATACCCCTGATGCGAGTTACCGTAATATTGTCGCCTATGTCGCGTATTCTCTGAGCGTGTCACCTGAACTTATAGCAGCACTCCCACCTGTCCGCCCCTGCCGATCACCGCTGGGCGAGGTCGAGCGCCACCTCGACCTGGCCGCGGTAGCCGTTGTCCTCGATGGCGGCCAGCCGGGCGCGGTACTCGGCCGGCAGCTGGTTCTCGGCGGCGCCCCGCTCGATGACGCCCTTGTAGACGGCCGAGGGGCGCCGGTCGCGCTCGGGCGGCGTCACCAGCTGGTAGCTGCGGCAGCGCAGCCGCTGGCCGGCCGGCGTCTCGGCCGTCACCGTCACCGGCCGGTAGATGCCCTGCTGGACGCCCTCCTGTCTGCGGCCCCCGGCGGTCACTCAGAGCGGAGCACCGCACAACATACCTACTGATAGTGAACGGGCCGGCCGTGGTATCAAACTAGTGAGGTATATGTGACATTTTCAGCATGATCGTATAGCTAGCATTAGATCGGAGCCTCATTCAACATTGTTATCTTAGACTCATTGTTAGGGTTTTCCTAAAGCAGTGAAGCATTTGTGGACACCAGCAAGAAGTAAAAGCAGGGATCATATATTGATCGGCTTGTAACAACTCATGCCACACAAAACACTACCATTGACAGTTGACACATATAAACAAATTCTTATGGAATAAATGACTTCATGCAAAGGTTCTACACATATTGATCCACATGACCCAGCTAAATATAGCATGTGTACTGTGTAGTGGGTACTCCATGCAATTGTCAGGATGTCATTGTGAAGGCCTCAACATATTGATGATCGGCTTTACCCTCCAGCCAAGAGTATCAATTGTTCTTACTTACTCATCAAGTGTCTTCAGGTGTTCTTCATCAAGTTCCCAAATGACTCCCCAAACATGCTTATCACAATCTTCTTCAATGGTGGCTGCTGCCCCTTTCCAGCGCTTGCTGTAATAGTTGAAGTCAAGACGATAGCCCTGAAAAATAAGTAAATGTTGAATTACAACACACATTCACCTAATTATATCACACTGCAAAGCCTAGTGGGAGAGACCCTGCACCCTGCATCCAAACTAAGCAGCAGTATCAAGACACACCAACACTGCAAAGTCAACCTGAACTTAAGTCATGAATATTTTGAAGCCTACTGCAAAGCAAACCATGTTTACCCACTTGCCAGTTGAAAACAGCACATGCAATGCCCCCAATTATCACCCAGTTACGTGGTGTGAAGGCCTGAAATCATAAGGCAGTGCAATGTGCCCAGCCAGTCAGAGCCAGAGGAAACTAATCAAAATTATCACTCAGGTAATTCAACTGACTGCACAAGTGTCTAATTGTCTATTCCAAATGTAAACCATCCTTTCAGGAACCTCCTTATCACACTAAGTGCTTTTTTCTTAATAATATGATGCATGCAATTTTTACATTATCTCACCAACATACACATACCAATGCACCCATACTACACACGGAGGCCACCGGGGGGGGGGGGAGGGGTGATTCTACCAACAGTGCCGCTAAGTGGCTTGGCTTCAAGGCAAATATTTATCACCAACAAACTACAAAGGGTAGGTAGGTAGTCTCCTGAAGCCTTCCGTACCTACCTAATGTACTTACATCCACCTTTCCAATGGCAACTTTCTTAGCTGATGGATTGTTTATGTGAATCCTCTCCTTCAGAAGATTACTTCCATAAGCAAAATACTTGAATGTGTTGTTTTTACTCATGATTTATTGAGATATTCTTCTTGTAATGACTGCAATACTCAGAGCCAAAGTTTCTTGGGCAAACAGATTTGGCTGCAGGCAAGGTGGGCGAGAAAATAAATGAGAATACAAATTACAAAGCCTGCATGGTATATACTGCCTAGGGATGTATATTAATTCGATTAAAGCTTAATAATATAAATGAAACGCAAGAATTCACGGCGCCAATCAATAGCAATCAATAGTCTCAAAAATAAAAACACAGCGGGCGCATCGGAAGACTTGTTCGATAGCATCACAAGCAAGAGCGGTTCGCTTTCAAATAGCGAATGACGCGAAAATGCTTCTTTGGATGACGTCAGATGAGACAACCTTAGGGTTTGATTGGACGTAAATCAGCCGTTTGGAGGTTGCTATGGAAACAAGAATGAGGCTTCTTTCACAACGGCCACGATCGAACAGGATGTTTGTCTGTTTTGTAACAATTCGTAAAAAAGTGGTTTCTGTACCAACTTAATTATTTTTAAAAGAAAATTGGCCTCAGTAATGAAAAGAAACATTTAAATGTAATGCTCAGGGCATGGCTGGCACTGGCACTTTTTACGGACTACCATGGTGCTGCACTTGTTAAGTTTTATGGGGATAACTGGGGTGTGTTTTGGGTTATGTGCTGACTTGTCGAGCTAGAAGAGGGCTGCAGTCATTAGTGACATTTTTCAGAGTCAAAACACTGACAAATCCAGCCCAAGGTATATAAAAACACTATCCAGCCGTTATCAAAGGGAGGGGTCAAAGCTGGCCAAAAGGTCAGGTCTCTGATGGTTTTCAATGACAAAATTTACAGCTTTTGATTTACTTGGACTAATTGGTATTGAAAATGAGGATTTATGGACTTATCTTGCATGCATGTCATCATTTTTGTGAATTGCATTCCAGAAGAGATTTTACAGGGGTGAATTTGGTTTGGAAAGGGGGGACAAATTATGTTTTGGCCGCCCCTAGCCCTCACCTTTGCCCAGTTCAAGTTGGCCCCTTTGCATCTGCCAGTGAGTCAAGAGGGGTTTTCATATTGATATCCCCTAAGGGGGAGTTAAGGGGGTATGAAAAGATGACTTCTGTAGTAGGTCAAGTATCCCTTTATGGCCAATTCCTGAAATATGGCAGGCTGATTGGCTGTATAGTCTTGCCTTGCTTTTTTTTCTCTTCCATGGATTTGAACCTTACCTTGAGCATTGCCTAGGCATTGCTTAAGGTACTTACAAGTTACAAAGCAATCCTGCTTGCGCACCAACATAAAAACTAAACATTCGTTTTTATGTTTATTATGCTGCAACTTGGTGATACCTGTTGTTCAGCATTTACCGATATTTCAGTGCTTCTAGCCTCATCAAAATGTGTTGAGCTGACTATTCACTAAAACAATATTCCTTAAATTGCCATAACTTTTCTAGTTATTTTTATCTGATCTCCAGAAATTTTCCTTTCATGCAGGTCATGCTAAGACGTGCCTTTCTTCAAGCATGGAGAATCAGAAGGCAAGGCCCAGGTGTAAATCTATTGAGGAAAAGTCAAGCTTCAGTTACGTCAATGAAAAATGTGAGAACTATGTCATCAAATTGGAACCATGAAAACAGGTAGGTGCCTACTTATCTTGATATGTCTTAATACGTTGGGTATTCAGAACCTGTTATATTACAGATATGGTGCTCTTTGTTGGTTTGTTACATGTATCCATATATGAAGACATTTGACAATATGAATGATCAACCTGTCCACAATATCGTATAGGTAGGTACCTACATCAGTATCATGGATAAGTTATGCATCTATACCTCTCTACAGATTGCTGTCCTTACTTTCTGATAATGCTTTCAGGATGCTCTGGTTTATTTGGGATCCTGCAGCCTGGGCTCCTCCCCATCTACTCAGTAGGTACCTCGGTGGTGCCTTGTCCCCCTCCGGCCGCTGTGTGACGGGGCGGCCGTGTCGGCAGGTACCACGACCCGGTGGTGGTGGACGTCACGCCACGCGAGCCGCTCTCGCCGGCCACCTACGAGGCCGTCTGCGAGGAGACCCTGGAGAGCCTCTGCTCGGCGCTCGAGGAGCTGCTCGAGACGGCCGCCAGCCAGCCCGGAGTCGACGTCGAACTCAGCGTAAGACCTCGCGCCGGCAGGCGGTCGGAATAGACTGGTCAGAGACCGTGTGAACGATGCTTGTTACGGAAGCCGTAACTTTCAGCCGTCCTATAGGAAAGTCCCGGGCTGTCAGAAGCCACCAGATAGTAACTGGAAGTCGAAGTTGCGAGTTCCCACGTGGGCATGGTCCGTCCTGCTCACGTCTTTCAAATGGCCGAGTCTGTCACCACTCACCACCAACCGCAGACCATCCGCATCAGTGTCTCACATGCCTATCGAGCGCCGGAACTTGTTCACCAACATACTGTGTCAGTTAGCACGTCCTAGTAGCGGGCTGATTCCGGGCTGACGTCTGCCTCCTGTTGGCCGTGCTCTAGAACGGCGTGCTGACGGTAAAACTGGGCGAGGCGGGCACCTACGTCATCAACAAGCAGTCGCCCAATCAGCAGATCTGGCTCTCGTCCCCCGTCAGCGGGCCCAAGAGGTAAACCACCCACTCCAAACGAATCGTCCACATGGGCCGTTTGCCTTTTTTAGCGAAACGGCACATGTACTTCGTGGATAGCCTTGAGGTGAATATTACGGAAAACGCATGAACACACATGCTAATTATGTGTCTACGTCTTATTCAATTTTCAAGCATTTCTTGAATAAGCCGATAAGATGCGGCCCAATATGCGTTAATTCTGGCTCACCCACCAGTGGCAGCCCCGCAGTCCGGTCGGCCCGCCCCGGCCGGTGTGTCCTGACGGCCGACCTGCCGCCCCGGCAGGTACGATTTCGTGGACGACGGCTGGGTGTACCGGCGCGACGGGCTGCAGCTGCACGAGCTGCTCTCCCGCGAGCTCAGCCAGCTGCTGGGCACCTCGGTCGACCTGAGCTCGTGCTCACACACCGGCAGCTAGCGCCATCTCTTGCGGAGGTTGGTAACTGCAGGCTGTTACTGCGGCCGTCAGGCGGCGGTAGCGGCAGCGGAGGATGCTAGGACGGACAAGGGAGGCTGTGGTAAACCCGTAACTGGACTCGGGAGAGGGGTGGCTGATGTGGTACGATTGCTGTTGGTTGTAAAACGAGGTTCGCTGGTGGTATTGTATGCCGTGTATGTCAGTCGCCGTTTGTCCCCAACTAATCGTCACAAAAGATCCAGTCCTGGGCGAATCTCTGATTACCGTTAAAGAAAAGACGGGCTCATGTTACACCTTACGGACAACTTAGACGATTATTTCGTTTTGTGTGCCATTTGATGGGTAAGTGTAAAGGGTGTGGATTATGGATGCTGTATGAGAAAGATGTTTTGATAGTTTTGTTGCTGACGGAAAGATATATAGGCGTATGTTGAATTATGCCTTCAAGTGGCCTGTGAGAAAATAAATAGCTAGCGAAGTAGTGCAACTTGTGTGTATGCGTTTTACCCTGCGCTCCCCACCAAATCCTCGAAAGGCGAATGTTAGGGGACAGTTGTAAACTTTTACGTCGCAAGGTTGCGTCGTAATTATATCACATCATTTTCTTCTATTCATTATCGAGGCTCTTACACTAAAAAGGTCCTGTTTATGTCATCAATGGGCATTTGGATGTCGATGCCAAAAATTACGGTGTGTAGTCAAAATATGTCATATCTTCCAGAGACATTCCGGGCTGCTGCTGGTTTACAACGTATTGAAATCGCCGGTGGATGGTGCGGAATTGGCTGTCCGAAATAGTACTTTTTGCTGGCCGTTCGGGGTCACCCTGAACTGCTCTGGGCTCGGTGCGCTGCTCTCTCACAAACATGTTACCGGGTACAGCTGACGGGAAGGGGTAGCGGCATGCCCCATTCGCCCATCCGTCTGCCGCCACTCGGATTAAGATCGATAGATTAGTTTGATGCAGAGAAGCATACGTCACCCGCCGGACGCCGACAAAGATTTCTGATAAGTCCTTGTTTGTGCCGAATGCACTTCTTGCGCAAGGTTTCCTAAAATACGCGTTGCGCATCCTTGCACATATCAGTGCCAACTCTAGAGTGCGTCTTACCCTTTGACGCTGCGGATTTTAGCAGTGTCGACTCTCGCGATCAACGGACTTTCTTCCACGGTAAAACCCCGTCTCCCTCTCCGGGCTCTTGCCGTTTGTCCAGGCTTAGGTTTGTTGTCGCAAGATTATTCACTCACAACCATTCTATACACTTCAAACATCGTATGCTATGATCTATTGGTGTGCGAAAGAAACATATTGTACTGAAAGGAGTACAAAGTGTTTTTAAAACATTCAGTTATGAAAGAAAATATCTAAAAGTGTTCGCCTGTTTTAACGGTGTGTGTCCTCTGGTAGCCAAACCATTGATGTACACTTACAGTCAGTCTTGAAAGGGCCGTGCATCGGTGCGGTGGATCCATGAAGCCCGGCCGAGGAAGAGTTGCTAAATTTGAGAGTCACCGAACCAATTGACCGGGGAGATGAATGAGGTCAGTTGGTTCGGTGACTCTCAAATTTAACTGCCCTTCCCCGGTCGGATTTGATGGATCCACCGCAGCGAACTCATAGGAAAAGACCTAGATCCACCTTGACCTATGATGTATTTTCTCGCTACGCTACGCTTTCGCTATTTCACAAGTTTTTTATTTGAAAATGCCATAGCGCAAACGATTCTATGTTCAATGCACTTCGGCGACCTGACAGTCAGTTGCAGTTCAGTCTTTTTCATATTAGCGGTCATTTTTTGCTTTGCGGGGGAAACTTATCATCACACTTTCACCTGAAAATAACAGCAGTTGGCGACTTTCTTGTAGCAAAACTGGGTCTGATCCAAAATGGCGCGATAAGTATTTACTCGGTAGTTTTTGACGAAGTTATGCACGACACCAGAGGTGGGCATCGCTACCGAAATTTGGAAACCGCTACCGCTACCTTCCGCAACCAGAGGTACCCAAAGCGCAATCGCAACTCCGAAACTATTTTTCAGATCTTGAAACCGCAACTCGCAACTCCGCTATTCCGCAACTCCGCTACCCATCTCTATTAGGTTTAGGTATTAGGCCTATGTTTTATCAGTTTTCGTCCTGAAGTGCAGTGCTATGTCTGATAGGACATAGCACTGCATCCTTTTGGAGGTCACCAGAGGTCATCAAAGTGAAAATGTTCCCAATTTT